ATGTCATGTCATGTCATGTCATGTCATGTCATGTCACCTCAGTGAAGACTACTAGCTAAACCACTTAGCTGTAATCAAGCTCTGCTTGTAAATTAAATCCTCTATCCCAAAATGAGTTTACCCTGTGGCCTTTTTTGCTGTCCCAACCAGCAGAGTGGTGTCCACTGTTTCCTTAACAGTTTTGGGAGTTTTTGGCAGTTGGATTCCATGAATGACTGTGTAGAGGATGTAGAATCAGTACCATAGTAGGAAAAAATGAACATGCATGTGATTAAAAATTATTTTTGCATAYGAAGTTATACAATGTTTTAACAAGGGAAACAAAATGTTGACAATCACCATGGTACAGTGCACCTCTTTCGCACAAGAAGAATGACCAAAATTAAGAAAGTTGTCTTATATTAAGAGAAGTATTGCCTGCTAAAGTATTCAGTGCTGGCTTACTCTTGCTCCTAGTCCAGTCCCAAAGAAATGACCACCACCACCAGCAGTAGTACTAGAAGAACCCTTCTTTCAACCGGTGGAAACAAGATCACATTTTTGCCAAAATGGGCCCAGTTTGGTGAATAGCTATCGTAAGTGCTTCAGACATTTTCAATTCATACAAYCAACTAACTGAATACTTCTAACATGTAAAATATTTCTGTTGAGTACAAAAAGAACAATTCCAATAACCCATATTGAGCTTATTTCACTAGAAAAGGTGCACAGGGTRCACTCATCTCGGGAGGGAGGAAGTATGCAAATAGTCGTTCTGTTGAGTCCCGGATGGCTCTCGTTAGACACTACGTCAAGAAAATTGAAGAACCAACAAAAACCCTCAGTTGACAGTTTGGATTATCGTTCGATTGTCAATGGAAGATTTCTGAATGGCGCCGATCCATTACAGTTCTGTATTACTTGGTACAGTATTTCAATACGATAGAAATATTATTTGGCAATGATTAATAATAATGCTTCTTCCTTGGCCAATGGAATAGTAGACCACAGCAAMGAAACAATGTCGCCGTTCAAGCCTCATTGGGATCTGTACCCCAAATCTTACGTCGCTCCGAAGACTTCCTTTCCACTGATAGATCACTTGGACGGAGACCTCACCAAGGATGTGTGGAAAAATGTCAGCTTTTCCGACGTATTTGATGATATCCGTGGTTCTGTTGATGCTCCAAGCGAAGACCGACCGAATTCAAATTGTCGGACCCGTTTTAAGGCCATGTGGGATAATTCCCATCTCTACATTGGGGCCGTTCTTGAGTCGGACTTTGAAACGCAGGCACATTTCACAGAACGGAATTCACCTATTTACCAAAAAGATTCAGATTTTGAAGTCTTTGTTGATCCTTTTGGAAGTTGCCACAATTACAAAGAGCTAGAAGTGAATCCGATAAACACCGTATGGAATCTGATGCTGGATCGACCCTATGACGATGACGGACATGAATTTTCGGGGAGGATTGCAAAACCAGGAGATGATCGATACTATGAGGTGTCTCATCAAAAGACAGCGACAAAATTATTGGAAGGGACACTCAATGATAGCAATGGGTCAGCAACATGGTCAGTCGAGGTAGCACTATCTTTTGAGGATTTATTGGCTCATACAGATGCTAGTCAGAAAGGCGTAATCCCAGGCGTAGATAGCGCTCTAAGAATCAATTTCTCTCGAGTGGAGAAACAGGGTGCAATCAATTGGACTTGGCAACCACAAGTCGTATGGGACCCACCCAACCAAAGATATTCAGGCTTTGTCGCCATGCATCTTCCTGACGCTTGGGGTTACATGGTCTTTGGCGAAGAACAATTGATGACACCGCCCGGGAACGGAGACGACACACGACCAAAAAGTAACACGCTAGAACCAGCGACACCACGAATACAACGGGATCCATCGTGGCCAGCTCGAGTTGCAGCGATGAACGTCTATTATGCGCAGCGACACTACTTCAACCAAAACGATAAAAACTATGCCACTTCGATTGATAGCTTGGAGGGATTCGTGGACGACCTAATTGTGACTCCATTCCAGATTACAATCAAATCAACACCRGGAGGCTACAAAGCTACGGTACGAGGGGGAAAACATTATGGTAAGGATGTGGTTATCACAAACAATCGTTTCCTTCAAGTCGTAGATCCAAGTGGAAMGCGTGTAGACACAGCTTGACATCCATGGCACCAATAATGACTATTTTTGGCCATAATGTTCAACACCCACATATCTGATACACRAAGGAAAATCATTCTGCTTTGTTTCTAGTTGTATGGGTAATGCTATGCATGATTTTTAAAATTAAGAAATACACCTTATCCTACAGCAATTGTTGACGCGGTACACAGAGTAGAGAAGTCGCAAGAATGAAACGACCTTGTCTCTTTASGGGCGGCTAAATGGATTGATACGAGAGAATATGGCATGTCCCCTCAATGAATGCGAAAYTGCCGCTCCAGCATGAATGGGAATAAGATATTTGCCTTTTGGAACATTGGTTTTGTGAATGAATATGAGATCGGTTAGGAGCAAGATTGTATATTGTATTTGGTCGAACTATATTCGAACATGGAACTTTCGCGAGAACGACAAAATCAGAAAAAACGAGAGCYAGCTTACCATAAATACCAAGTTGCTTATGAATTTGAAAACTCTATTTTTACCATCCGTAGAAAGAGTCGTGTGCAAAGTTAGATAAAGCATTATGAAATCAAAGGTACCGACAAGAGTAACCACCTGAACACCCTTACCTGCTTAGCAATTKCTCCAGTACTCTTTTTGTTCTCTTCTGTTTTGACTATACCAGGAATGGTTGTGGTAAAGAATGGTAAGCCTTTTCCTATATATGGAAGAACCAWMAAAAAGAACACAAGGTTGAGAAAGACGCGTCTTGCTCGTCGGACGAAATCGAGCAGGGAAAAAGAATTRAAAAAAATGGATCATTGGTGCCTGCAACATAATTACCTCCATAGTATCCCATCGCAATACCCGATGCCGGCATAATAGTCATAAAYGCATAAAGTCCATAATGTCCAACCTTGGCAAGAGCATGTTCTATTGAGGATGGACCAACCATCTCTTGAAGCTTATACTATAAGAATGCAGGAGAAAAGGAAAGAAAGCATAAAATGAACAAATTAGATCTAGTCGAATGCACCGAATCCACCACTCCCACGCTCAATCCTGACGCGATCTTCAAATAATTTTTGCCACACTTACAGATGATCTATTTGCGATTCTATACGCCAAACGGGGTGCTACAATCAATCCMGTTAGTAACCCAAATGATTTATGACGATACATCCACGGTCCTTTCTCTCCTTTTGGGCTGTCTTGCGCCTAAACGTTGGAAATAAGGAAACAAAAGGCAGCGAGGTTTTAAGAAAACGACCAAAAACCATACGCAATTAGAGTTGTTATTAGACATAATCAAACTTCAAACATGCCGTTTGATTACCAGACCGCACGCGACGAACAAAAGTTGGTTTACCTTCAACACGCATCCGATACAACCAACCATCGAAGCAGCACTCAACCAGTGTAAGCTTGATGCAACTGCAGTATATGCTTTTGGTGCGACACTCATTTTACTATTTTCTCTTTGTTTGTTTCTCGTTTAATAGGATGATTGAATTCTTCTTCTAGTAAGACGAAGAACAATTGAAAAAGGGAAAGGTGAAAGGCGTCAAAAACATTAGGATGATTTAGAGAGGCTATTCTCAAAAAAACATGCGCAGCGAAGATTGAGGAAGACAGAGAAACAAGACTTCCAAAAAGATCGCTTCGGTTTCTCCTTTCTCTTCTACCGCTATGATTAAGAGTACGTAAATACTACAGTACTGTACTACATAAGTACGTACTGTGTGGGTACGAGTACCTGCAATAAATGATACAATAATAAATACACAGTACAAAGTCCGTAGAATCCTACACGCATGCAAATTATCGCGAACTCCCTGAAATAGTTCAAGTATTTGTAAGAGATAGCCTTACTACTGGAGGGAAAATTCAAAAAAACTTCGTGAAAAAAATTGAGGTACGAGTTGAACACCTTAGAACGACAAGTCCTCTTAAGATTGCTAACTACTGGAAAATAAGTCAAGCAGAATTACTTGCATCATCAAGCATAAGGCAATTTCCATAGTAAACAGACATGTGATGAAGGTAATTCTTGACAATAATAGAAACATGTTATCTATTACATTATACTAAGCTCTTAGAGGGGGACAAGTAGTAGTTAGCACCAGCTACTCCACCAGCGTGGTATCGTCAGCGGCTCCTTGTCCGTATCAGCATTCTCCTCCGTATCAGTGAGCCTCCATATCAGCAACTCGTATCAGCCATCCTCCGTACCAGTGAGCCTCCATATCATCATACTCCTCCATATCAGCATCCTCCGTATCAGCAAATCATATCAACGAGCCTCCGTATCAGCAAGGAGCGTCCTCCGTATCAGCATCCTCTGTATCACCAGCTCGTATTAGCGGACGCCGTATCAGTGGACGCTGTATCAGCAGTGAGCCTCCGTATCAGCATCCTCCTTCTTATCAGCAAGCCTCCTCCGTATCAGCAGCTCATATCAGCGGCTCGTGTTAGCGGCTTGTATCAGCGGCTTGTATCAGTGGCTTGTATCAGTGTCCTCCATATCAGCGACTCGTACCAGCAAGCCTCCGTGTCAGCATCCTCCGTATCAGTGAGCCTCGGTATCAGCTACTCCTCTGTATCATTATCAGCAAGCCTCCGTATCCACATACTCCTCATTATTGTTATCAGCAAGCCTCCGTATCAGCATACTACTAGTAGTACTCCTCTGTATCGTATCAGGATCCTCCGTATTGTATCAGCGAGCCTCCGTATCAGGATCCTCCGTATTGTATTAGCAAGCCTCCATATCAGCATACTCCTCCGTGTTGTTATCAGCAAGCCTCTGTATCAGCAAGCGTCCTCTGTATCAGCATCCTCTGTATCAGCGAGCGTCCTCCATATCAGCATCCTCCGTATCAGCGAGCGTCCTCCGTATCAGCATCCTCCGTATCAGCGAGCGTCCTCCGTATCAGCATCCTCCGTATCAGCATCTGTATCAGCATCCTCGTCCGTATCAGTTAGCGTCCTCTGTATCAGTTAGCGTCCTCCGTATCAGCGAGCCTCCACATCAGCAAGCCTCTGCATCAGCATCCTCTGTATCACCACCATCCTCCTTATGAGTGAGCAAGACTGCTGCTGGTGCATTTGTATTGGATTGAAGATGGTTCAATTCTAAAGGAATAATGAATGGATTGTGAGTTGACAAGCTGCTTTGGTGCAAATGTATCATTTTTTGTATCTMTTACTTAGCAGCTACGCGGTGGGAAATGCTACATATTAAGAGATCACAATAGTAAATAAAATAATACACGTACACCACCTGCCAGCTTGGTATAAAAGTACATGAAAAATTTTACGTACCACTGAATACTGGGGGTATGGAAATAGGTGCGTTAAAAAATACACGGAAAACTACAGTAGAAAATACATRTGTATCATTTTGTAGATACTGTAACCGGAGGTACTACTACTACTAGCTACTAGTACTGTAGTACTTTAATCAGTAGTAGTAGTACTAGAAGTAAGAAGTACTCTACAACTYGATGCATACTTTCATAAGGTACGATGATACTCCAGAGCCTGTCTGTTGCAAGCTGGAACAAGGTGGTCTTCACCACAGCAGTTAAGGAATGCTTGATCATTCCCTGCTGAGTACTACTACTAGTACTAGTAGTACTACTAGCTACCAGAAGAGGTGGTAAAAGACAGACTCAGGAGCATCATCATTACTACTACTAGTAGTACCACTACTAGTACAAATTGCAATCCTGCTGGTGCTGGCCCTGCTGCTGGTGGTGGATGCTGGTGTGTTCTCATTTCCCTTCTACTGGTACTAGTATAATGCCTCTCCTCTGATGTTTTATTCTTTTCTCCTCTAAGGCTTCCACCATGAGATTCCTTCTCCTGGTCACCTAGTGTACACAAATGTTCTCAATAGTACTAATACTCACTTTTACTAATCATAGTAATACTTTACATGAAATTTTATTCTTCACAAGAAGCCATGAAACTAGCTAGTACTGGCACRTCATCAGTCGTTTTTCTTAGTACTAGTTAGACTATTTTAAGTACTACTATGATTCCATATTCCTTTAAGAATGGCTCAGAGAGAAGTTGGGAATCTTTCCTTTTAACAACAAGTCTGCTGTTAGTAAAGAAATGCAAATATAGAGGAGTGCACTGTTTAGATTCCAAGATTGTCTAGTAGATAAACAGGAATAAGAACCCAACAAGGATGACCCCTCTTTGCATCTCTACTAGTACTAGCACAACTACTACTACAATTGTTAACCATGCAAGAGTAGCAGGTGGATAACCTCACTCTTCATTGTAAACATGGTGTAGTTGTTACAAGGCACTATAGAGAATGCATACATTT